GGAAGCCCCTTCCTCTGTCCAGGAGCAGTGGGAGGGCGGCTCAGAAGCCCCTCCCTCTGGGCTGGGAGTGGTGGGAGGGATGGTGGCCCGGAAGCCCCTTCTTCTGGGCCAGGAGCAGTGGGACTCAGTACCTTGGTCTGGTGGTCTGGTGTCCTCTGCATCTTTGTAGTGTGGAACCAGGTGGCTGTACAGAGGAGTGGGGGTGGGGGGCTAGTGGATTGTTGCCGGGGCGCAGGCTGATTCAGCATGTTCCACAGGACTCGGGACCTCAGTAGGGTGTCTGCAGACCTGCTTGTCTGCTGCAGGCTGATTCAGCGTGTTCCCTCCAAACTTTTAAAATTGTCTTTCTGTGCAGGGTACCTTCAGAGCAGTCCAAGAAGGCTATATTTTGGATGTATCCACATGCACACATTAATCTAGAGGAAAATCATTCTTGCTTTGCCAAACACTGAGACTACAAGCCAGCCACACTCCTATGACATATCATCATATCATCACAGGCCTTCAGAATTCTCCTAGAGAATGATTTTACTGGGAGAAAGGATAAGAAAGCATTGTAATCCCCCTGAACCTATGGCTCATTACCTCATGACTCCTTTTGAATATAAATAATATAGAAGTGGCTAAATAGATGACTCCAGGACTAGATTGACCACTTTTTTAAAAACTGAAGGATGAGACTACAGATCCTTGTCATTCTAGAACTTACTTGGGACTGGAACAAAATTCTTGGACTACAGTTAAAGATCCATTCAAGGGCCAAGAATTTAGCTCAGTGGTTCTGCCACCTGCCTCACAAGTTCAAGGACCCGAGTTTGATCCCTGGAACAACAACAACAAAAAAAATCCATTCAACATTCTGTTTATATGTAGAAAGCAAGCATTAAAAACTTCCAGTGATAGATAGAATTTGTAATAGAATTAAAATTACATTATTCAGGTCAAATTTGTATACTTTTTCCCTATTTAACACTAATCTCCTGTTCAGACTTATCATTCATGCTTTTTTGCTCTTGTTAGTCCCTCTGCCTGAAACATCCTGCCTCCCAGATATGAGTTTTATGTATTTTGTCTTCCAACAGATTGTTTCTGTTTTAATGTTTAGATTTCGATTTTAGATTGTGAGAAATAAATAATATGGGTGTCTAGATTCACTCTTTGGCATGTGGATAGCCAGTTTTCCCAGCACCACTTGTCAAAGAAGCTTTCCTCCAGTGAAAGTATTTGGCCCCTTTGTCAAAGATAAGGTAGCTGAATGTGCCTGGAGTTGCTTCTGCTTCCTCCTATTCCATTGATCCACAGGGTTTTGGTTTTTGTTTTGTTTTGCCATTACCATGCTGCTTTTAACACTGTAGCTTTGTAGTGTAACTTGAAGTGCAGGATTGTGATGGCTCCTGCCTTGCCATTGTTGCCCAGAATTACTTTTGCTATTCTAGGACTTTTATGGTTCCATATAAATTTTAGGATTGTTTTCTGTAGTTCTGTGGGGAATGTTATTTTTATTAGGAATATACTAAATCTGTATATACCCAATAGTAGGATTGCCGGATCTTGCCTTTTTTTTTTTTTTTTTTTTTTTGTACTGGGGATTGAACTCAGGACCTTGCACTTATGAGACAGGCACAGTACCACTGAGTTAAATCCCTGGCCCTTGCCTAATTTTTGATACACAGTATTTTACTACACATTGTCAGAGGATATGGATATCACTGCATTGAGCCAGTTTAATTTTCTAATACATATTTTAAAAGACCCTAAAATAGAAAAACTTTGTTATTCAGGAGAATAAGCTATTTTATAAATCCTGTTTGCTTTTAACATTAATAACAAATGAATTATTTGTTGATTGTTTTCTACTAAAATTTGTAATTTTTTCAATCTCCAAAATTTACTTCTACAAAAATCACATTTAGTTGTTCAGCATATAAGCCTAAGGAATCAGCTGTAATTAGTTCTAATCTTTCTGTTCTAGGAATGGAAAAGGGGTATTTAAATATGTGGAAATATAGGAGTGGGTTTTTGTGGGTTTTTTGACACATTCAGTACCGAATGGGGTTGTAATTAAAAGTGACTTAGAAACTAAACAGAACTTTTTTATAAGAATTAATATTCTAGGGCCAGGAATTTAGCTCAGTGGTTCCAGCGCCTGCCTTGCAAGCACAAGGTCCCAAGTTCGGTCCCCAGTACCAAAAAAAAAATTAATTTTATCAATGTGTTTAAGGTGACACCTATGTAGATATGTGTCATGTATTTTTTTTTAAAAGCAGCACATTTCATATATGATTTCACTGTAGGGCTTCACAAAGAAACAGTCTTCTAAAATTATGTTCACAGATATTGTGCTAAGTCTAGTATGTACTTATTTGGGAAATTTGAAAGTGCCTTAGGAGATTTAGCATACCATCTTTGTTGAATAATTCCAAAATCCTAGATCACATAATTTTGAATTGGAAAGCCATGAGCATATTGAAGATTCTTAAAGTTAGTTATAAGTGCTCTCCATAGTGGTCTAGAATGACCAACCTTGAAAGTGAGCCAGAAAACAAGGGACAAAATGGAATCCTGTTGTGCACGATGATCACATTATAAATTAATCCTTATTTTTGGGCTTGAGTTTGAAGTTCATTTTTTCTTGAACTTCAGTTTGAGGTTCAAATTTTTCTTTGTACCTTATATTCATTTCCAGTAGTAAAAACTCTGTCAACTTAATTTGGATTACTTTCTAATTTTAATTTCATATACTTCATGATTTAGTCAGATATTCTACTTTAATAAGTGGTTACTGGAAGTTTAGTATTTTTTAATGTCTCATCCACCCAAGCTCAAAAGAGTGCCAAGCTTGAAATAGCACATAACAAACATAACTTCTCTTTTTCAAAGTTAGTGTTAACAGAGTTGTCATAGAGAGTACACCTTTGCAATAGTTTAAAAGATTGTAGTAGTCCACTCGTAGCACAGACCAAGTATTCAAAGTTCTAAAATATACAAAAGAATCTTCTTCTGAGTTTTGTTTTGGACTGTTACCTTCCATTCAGAAAGTATGTCTGGTCAGAGTGGAGGAGGCTAACAGAAGATAATAATAATGTGGTAGGTAACTTCATTTATCTCCAGTATAAAGTAGAACATTTATTATTTGGGAATATTAGAAAGCAGTAAGCCAAAAGAAAGGTTAAGTCTTTAGATGGGATAAAGGATAGATCATTTGTGAATAGAACTATGTAAAATTGATATTTACCAACTAAGAATAAATGAACTTTGCTCACCTTTTGGATACTTAATTAGGAAATATTAAAGGAAAGAAAAGGAAATAATAGTTTTTTTTAAGAAAAAGGGACTGCTGGTCAGATAGCAAAGATACTTGCAACAGGCCTTGTACTTAATATTTTAAGATAAATTAAAAATTTAAGGCTCTGCCTCTAGACAGACATATTTTTGAGTTTCAAAAGGACTTTAAAAAGCACTCTTTTGAGACAAATTTTATGTGGAGGACTACCTCTTAAACAGTCTTCTAAATCAGGGGTCAGTAGTTACTTTGTATATTTTAGTCTGTTTTTTATACCCTGCACTCTCTTTGTACAAATTCTCAACATTATTTTATTTAGTTACTTCACGGAAACCAAGGGAAGATGAAAAAGATGGCCAGGCATATAAATTTGTGTCACGATCAGAAATGGAAGCAGATATTAAAGCTGGAAAGTATTTGGAACATGGGGAATATGAAGGAAATCTCTATGGAACTAAGATTGATTCTATCCTTGAAGTTGTCCAAACTGGAAGGACTTGTATTTTGGACGTCAACCCACAAGTGAGCTGCATGGATTCCAGAGATATTTTTAAAATTTTATTTCCTGATGAGATTTTGTGCGGGGGGGGGGGTAAGAACGTTTGTTTTTTCAAAGTGGAAAGGTGGCTCATTTCCTTTCTTATCTTTTGGTGATAGAGAACCTTATTTAGCTAGCTAGCTAAATAAATAAATATCCAATCAGTCCTCAGAGGCTTAGATAGCAGTAGAAACCATGTAATTGAATTTGTGTAAATTTAGTATTTATTTCTTCAAGTAATAAATACCTATGTTAGGAAATGCTAAATTTAAAACTCAAGTATGGCTGCAATCTAAGAGAATAAAAAATTGAAATCTTTCCCTCTCCCACCTCATACACACATAGAATATTCACTTCGTTCTCATGGCCTATTTCTGTTTCATTCATCCCTTCTTACCCCTCTACACTCACCCCAACCTCACTTCTCTTCTCAGAGATAAATATTAATATTTGGTATTAGTCATTTCTTGTCATTTTAGTATGCCTTAAATACAAACATATGTATAAAACTTAATGGATTTTGTGTTTTTAGCTTTTTACATAAATGGAAGAGTTTTATAAAGATTCTTTAGTGTTTTGATAAACAGTATTTCTTGAAGCTCTTTTCATGTTACTGAAGAGCTATTTTTATTCTTTGTAATTGCTGCATAGTATTTCATAGTTTGGTTTTTTCATTTATTTATTCACTCTCCAATTAATCAGCCCTGAGGTTATTTTTACTTTTTTCAGTATTAACAGATTCTTACAGTAAGAGCTTGTGTCCCTCATGATGATTTGGGGATTACTAAATTTTATACTTTCTTTTGTTCAAGGAGAACAAAGAATGTGAGACTGAGTTTACAATAAAATAAATGTGTCAGGGTTTTAGGAAAGGACTGTAGCGTCAGAGAAGCAGAAGGAGACAGTAAAATATGTTCTTAATCCTTAGAAGGCAGATTGATTTTATTTATACTAAAAGATAGCATACTTCAAGTACCAATATTAATAAATTGGTTTGTAATTATTCTACACAGGCGCTGAAGGTGTTGAGGACATCTGAATTCATGCCCTATGTGGTGTTTATTGCTGCTCCAGAGCTAGAGACATTACGCACCATGCACAAGGCTGTGGTGGATGCAGGAATCACTACCAAGCTTTTGACGGTGAACACTTTCTTTCCATCTAAACATTTTATTTTTGCTAAATTGTTTCCTTTTCCTTTCTTTTGAATATGTTTAATCCTATCTATTCATACTTAGGAAATAAACACACTATATAAGATATTATAAAATAAAAACTATTCAGCAGGTATAGTTAGAACAGTACTGCTTTTACTTGAGAATCCTTGTTAACTTTTTTTAGTGTTTACTGGTACACGTTTGTAGTACATAATTACATTCATTGTGGGGATTACGTACATGTACGTAACACATATTGATTCTTTTTATTTTCCCTTTCCTCTCTCCTCCTTTCGCTTTATTTTAAACCAAAAGCATAGTTCCCTTTTTAGAACAAGAACCAGTTTTAAAATATAAATATTAATCCAGCTGCCTCATTTTAATGAGAAAATAGCCCTAAAACCATTAAGAAGCCTGTTCATCATATGGTTTATAGATAGAAGCAGTTATTGATTTCTGTTACATGCTTTCTTTTTCTCCCTCTTTTTTCATATTATAGAAATTTTAAGATCGTATGTTCAAAAAAGAGAATGAACTCTTATGTTCCCACCAATTTAGCCTCCCACGACATGACCACTCATTTCAGTTAGATCTCTCTCCACTTCCTCTCTCATCTTGAATTACTAAAGCAAATCTTTTATCTCATATCATCCATAAATACCTTAGTATTTATCTTAAAGGAGTACGTTTGAAAACATGTTCATAGCACTATTAGTGCACAAAAAATTAAAAAGCAACATTCAGTATCATTAGTATGCAGTCTATATTTGAATTCCTGCAAGATTTATAATATTTTTGTAGATGATTTATTTACATCAGAATCCAAACAAGATCAACACATTAGATGAGGGTGTAACTCAGTGATAGAGCGTTTGCCTAAAATGCATGAGGTCCTCAGTTCAATCCCTAGGACTCCAAAAAATAAAAAATAGAAAAAAAGGATGAGTTGAAGATGATCTTGAAGAATGAGATGAAGATTTACTTAATTGGTCATATTGAATTTACTTAATGTCTTTTTTTTTTTTCAGCTTGAGTTATAATTGACATAAAATTATCTATACATATCTAGAAGTGTCCAGTTTGATAAGTTTGGGGTTGTGTTTGCACTCATGAAACCACCTCAGCCAAAATAATGAACGTGTCCATCATCTCCACATTTTTCCTTGTGCTTCTTGGTAGCCACATCAAACCAGCCCTCTTGCTCCTCTTCCCACCATATAGCTGAATAATATACCTTGAAATCAGAGCTTAGTAGTCCACTTAGTTCTTTTTCAAGTTGCTCCATGTCTCTACTTAACCTTCTGAATATGTGAAAAACGTTACAACTTTTTGATGTCCTCATTGTCTACTAATTATAACATTCTCTTCCGCCCCCCTTGTTTTTTTGAGATAGAATCTAGCTATGTAGTTCAGGCTGTCCTTAAACTATGTAGCCTTGGGTAGCCTCAAACTCAGGGAGATCCTCCTGCCTCCATTTCTGGAGTGCTGGGATTACAGGCATGTGCCACCACGCCTGGCCTGGGTCTGTTTTGATTGAATTATTTTTCTCATTATTGGTCATGCTTTTCTGCTTCTTTGCAATCTTGATAATTTTTTTTTATGCCAGACATTATGAGTTTTGTTCCGAGATGCAGTTATTTGGAATAGTTTAATCCTTTCAGGTCTTGCTTTTAAAATTTGTTAGATAAGACCCAAGCATTTCTCAGTCTACAGCCAATTATTCTCCAGTGTTGAGGAAAGACCTATTTGGTACTCTTCTAAATGGCCTATTAATAAGACTTTCTGTTCTGGTGGAATAGGTACTACTCCTGGATCAGTGTAAATATCTCTAGTCCTGTTGGGTAGTTTTTCCCAGCTTCCAGGCCATGCCTACAATAGCCCACCTTTTCCCACCAGGCTTCACCACCCAACATCACACCCACCTATAAACCTATCAGAGGACTAATACAGTATCATACACCGATGATCCAGTATCACATGATCCAGTCACCTCCCAAAAGCCCCACCTATGACCTCATGAGGCTTTGGGGGAGCATCTAGATATAAGCCATAACAATCATGAAGGTAAATACAGTAATACCTCACTTCATGAACTTAGTTCTTGCCACGATTCTGGTTGCAAGTTCTGCAACTAGAACAAATTAAGTTTGTGATCCAAGATACCACTGTATTTGAATCAGTTCAGGACATCAAGGCAGCCAGAACAGTGAACTAAAAACACAAAAGATGACTTCTAGAAGTGCTCCATAAAGTAGCAAGAATGATAAGTATATTCAAGCCAAAGGGGAACATTTTATTATATCCTGAGCGTATGTCAGGCTCTGTCATTTTTATAAGGCTAAGCAGTAGGTTCAGATGTTAGCCTGATTTAAAAGTTCCCCAGTAACTTTTTTGTTTGCTTTGTTTTGTTTTTTGGTACCAGGGATCAAACTTGGGACCTTGCGTTTGCGAAGCAGGCAGCAGAACCACTGAGCTAAATCCCCTGCCCCTCCTAATAACTTTTCATCTAATGATTTTAGCAAGTTTTTGATTTTTGCCTGGATTAGATACTCTTTTGTTTTTGGAGTGGCAAGGTGGTAATATTCTAAGTTATCGATCCATTGGCCTTTATATACTGTTATTTTTCTCATGAACTATTGATTACCTCTGAAGTACAATTCATATAGAAAAGGCATGGCACATGTCTAATAATGCTCCTTTATGAATCAGTTTTCAGAATAATAGGTTTGTTCTCTCAGAGCCTGCAAGAGAGACAGGTGACCAATGAGGCTTTTGTTTTTGTTTATGGCGCATGGGTTCTTAGACTTGTTTGATAAGCTTTCCTTTATTGTATTTATTCTTTTTATTCCTGCTCAAACTGTCCTATCTTTGACCAGTAGAAACTCATTTTAACACTTGAGAGCTTTTAGACTTTTTTTTTTACAATGTATGTGAGAGAAAGAGAAAAGGTCTCACTGTGGATAGGCCATGCTTGCCTTGAACTAACCAGCTGTATAGCTCAGAATGATCCTGAACTCATGATCCTCCTGCCTCAGCCTCCCAAATGTTGAGATTAAAAGCATATGCCACTACACTGCTTTTGAGACCTTTTTTTTCATGAGCTTGATAATCTTGGATAGCTTTCTTCCTGTCTAGTATGAGAGATGTTCCATGTTCATCATGTACATTTCCTGTTGGAGGCCAAGAAGCTAACATCTTCCCAAGATGCCCAGGTTCCTTTTAGGGTAAATAGTATTTTAAGACATAATACAAGACGTATGCACATTGTCATATGGTTAATCAATGCTTGTAGGCTAGACCTTTTTACACAGACCTAGGATATATACTTCTGTTTGTATGTTTAAATAACGTAAGTTCATACTGCATACTATATTATAAATCCATACTACTATTTCCCATTCTCTTTTATATGTCTAATTTTTCTTAGGCTGAGTGTCAGAGTTCTCATAAACAGACACATTAGATTATCACATAATTGCTCTTTGCTTTATCCATAAACACTGAGAATAAGTATATCAACACTCCCACCAGTGGGTATGATTACTGTGAACAGCCACATACACACACACACACACAATTCTTTTTATCTTTATAGACTATCCTATTTTAAAGTCACTTGCAATAGCACTTACTTCCTTCTGTGTATATCTAGGTCACTTCACTCTTTTTGATGTTCAGATTATTTATTCAGCTAGTAGGAGCCTATTCAGATTGGCTTCTCGATTTCTTTAATACAGTCCCAGTAGTCTTTGATGATTCTTTGCTTCCTCATATGAGAACTTGTTCAAGGTTATTCTCACACATTTCCTGTCCAGAACTGGAACCAGCCATCCCAACATCTGGATTTGTTTTAGTGAGAAATGGTATTTAGAGATAATTTAAGCACTGAAGGTATGCATTCAACTCAGTTGGACATTGTTTCTGGACCCTTCAGTGTTCAGATGGAGGATATATTTTTCTTTTTAAGAAAATATACATCATTAGTTCAACTTGATAGTTCCAGTTCCAATTTTGTATTAGTTTTACTTTACTACAGTACTTCAACCATGCATTGGCCTGCCTCTTATGCAGAAAGTCTTGGTTCCTGATAATGATTTCTTATTTTATACCTATATAATAAGTATAAATAATAATAATAGAAATTATATATGTGATACTTCATTATTTTTTGGTACCAGGGATCAAACTTGGGACCTTGAGCTTGCAAGGCAGGCGGCGGAACCACTGAGCTAAATCCCCACCCCAACATATATAATTTCTGAATAGCAGTGTCAATATTAACAATATGACTATTGAAAAGTTTTAAGTTTCAGGCTTTTTAGTTGCTCAGAAGATATATCCCACTAGATGTCAAATTATTTAGTTTTAAAGTCATTGAAATAATTCCTTTCTGTGTGACTAAGCCATCAACTTGAAACACAGGTTTGTTTCATTTTGCTTTTGATTTTTGTGTATTATTCCTTTTTCTATTTCAATTAATTGTATACAACATTTTCATAAATCTAGCTTTTCTCTGTCCTTTCCACTCTTTTCCTTCCATCTATATACATAGCCATTTTTGGTAACTATTTTTACCATTAGAAAGTGTGTAGGTATATATTGTACTTCCTCTTTCATTTCTTGTATAAAAGGTAGCTTATTATACATAGTAGTTTCCCTGTATTTTTCAAAAATCAGCACGTCCTGGAGATCACTCCTTAGATTCTCTATTCCTTTTTCCACCTGTATGGCATACTCCACTTTTATTATAAGATTTTTAAAAACAAATCAGATTGCTAATAACTATAAGTAAAAATTCCTTTCAAGTTGAATTATGACCTGTTCATACGTCTGTGATCCAAGGTATTTTAGTTGTTCCAAACTTAGCATTCTCAGTGGAAGTATTAGTAAGTTTGGGCCTAGTGGTTGAACCCACTTCTCTCTCTACACTTTCCCTTAGTGAAAACCCAGTGACATCCATTATTATGCTGATGATTTATATAGCTAGGTAAACCACAACCCAGATGTGTCAGTTACTTATATCTCTACTTTGGATGTCTCACAGACATCTTAAACTTGTCATAAACAAAATGGAACATTTTGTTTTCTCAAAAAAGTCATGCTCTCCTCACTCCCCACTACTCTGCATCTTCTACAGATGCCTATTTGCTCACGAAACCTAAAAGCTAGCCTTGATCCATTCATTTTGTTTTTCACATGTAGCCCATCAGCTAATCCTGATGATTTTAACACTAGAGTAAATTTCCAGACTGTTGTCTTTCCTATCTACTTTGCCACCATCATCATCTAGGCAGCAGTTTATTGTGACATGGATCACTGCCATCAGCTATGCACTTACATCACATTCCCACTCAAGACCCATAGATGTCTTTTTATTACACTAGGTCCTCCATAACGTAGCCACAAACCAGTGTCCACTCTGGTCTTCTTTTAGTCTCAGATACACCTGGGCCCTTTCCCTTCTCTTGATTTTTGCACTGCTGTTCTGCCTAAAGATGTTCTTTCTCCTACTGTACTCTTAACTGTTACTTGCTTTTGTCTTTCCAGTCACTCTAAGTAGATCTTTTAAAATCCTTTGTGCCTGTTTTTTTATACTACTTAATAAACTTGCAAATTTTTTATGTTGATTTGTCTTTTATCTGTCTCTCCCACTATGAAGCAACAGCCCCCTCTTATTCATTTTTATGTCTACCAGTTCTGAAACATAGTAGTCACTTTAATAAGAACCCATTAAAATTTTGTAGAATATATAAAAATACAGTGAAATTTCAAACACTTGGAATTTATGAAAAGCCTTACTTGCTAAGGTGTAGAACCCATTACTTAAGTTCTTCCTATATCTTTCCAAAATGACTAGAACTAGTATAAAATATAAACAGTACTAGCACAAAAACATAACTTAAGTGTATGGGTGTATCTTTTGGTGGTGGATAGGCCGCGTGTAGTTAGTCTTCAAAACATACTTTGAAGGGTCTCTGACTTTATTACAGATAGGTGGAAAATTGGCTTCATGATTTACATAGGTCATAAAATAGAAATCTTTTGAGATGGGGGGGTGGTGCCTGCCTGTTATCCCAGGACTCAGGAAGCTGATGCAGGAGGACCCCAAGTTCAGTTCAGCCTCAGCAACTTGGCAACTTAGTAAAACTCTCTCTTACAATTAAAAAATTAAAAAAGCAGGTAATATAGCTCAATATGAAGACTGGGTTTAATTCCCAGTACCATTTTTTTAAATCCTTCAAAAAAGATGTTAGATGAGCTAGAAACCAGTCACCTACAATAATTATTTTAATACTTTAGATTTACCCAAAGAATATTGTCAGTCTTTTAATTAAGAATCTTATTCTAATAACAAAACGGAAGATATAAAATGCTCATAAATTCAAACATGAATGCAGATGGAAAGACTAAGATATGCACAGACAGTAATGTCTTTTTTAACACTATAGATTGGATTTTGATGATTAATATCACAAATATTGAATTTACTTGTTTCTTTAGCAAGTAAATGTGCATTATCATACAAACATTTTTTTCTTTTAAAACTCTTTAATAGGACTCTGACTTGAAGAAAACAGTGGATGAAAGTGCACGGATTCAGAGAGCATACAACCACTATTTTGATTTGATCATCATAAACGACAATCTAGACAAAGCCTTTGAGAAATTACAAACTGCCATAGAGAAACTGAGGATGGAACCACAGTGGGTCCCAATCAGCTGGGTTTACTGATGATTCAATGAGGTTAATCATTAAAATAAAACTTTTCAAAAGCAACTCAACGAATAAACCTTCTACTGAGAAAATACATGCACAGATAGAAGTTATTTGCCAAGTCCAGGTATTTTTATTGTGTAGCTGAAATAACAGTACACTATTCTGAATTTTTATATAAAATATGGTTGGGAAGGTATATATAATTTATCTTAATTTTTCTAACTTTTTATGGATAATCTTTCTATTCATATCACATAAAGAAATGCGTTGAAGCATTTTGTATATGTTATGATTTGGTACCCTTGCCTTTTTCATCAAAAGAATTTTCAAATCATTCACTTTAACATGGTCTCACATTTTCACTGTGATAATGAATACTTGAAATAGTTTTATAAAGCTGTCATTCAGTGCAGTATTTAGTGAAGGGTCAGTTACTCTTATTAGAAGAAAACAGTAGTATTGGCCTTCCTTCTTAATCATATTTCTTACAGAAGCAGAATTTTAATGTCAGTGCTACGAGTGTACTACCATCTAAACCTGACATCAAAAATCTGTTCAGTGCCACATTTTTTAATCATTTCAGAGATGTATGGCTATCCATTCTCGTTCATACAGATAGCTTTTTCCCTTTGTTTCTATCTTTAATGAAAAAGAAAGAGCGCTACCTCGCACTCTTCTGAGGTTATTCTTTTTGTTTGTTGCAGTGACATATGGATATTAATTTGACATGTACAGATTAAGGTCAGGCTGGAAGCAAGGTCATGCAGACTGAGAGAGTGCCTTATCCTGTAAAAACCTTACACGAAGTGACACTTGAAGAAAGTTTTATTTTCACATGTAAAAAATTGAACCTAATAATATAGAGATTTTTTTTTTTTTTAAGGATATGGTCAGCAAAAGTATCATGCCTCTGCAGATTTCTGTGTTGTTTAAAGATGCTTTTAAGTTTACAGTTGGGAGTTTTTGTGAACAATCAGTGTGCTTTTTGAGCAGTTATATAACTGTTAAGGTATTTGTTCTGTTTGTTGTGATGAAAACCAAATTATTTGAATAATTTATAAAATCTGGAAATGATCATCACCTGTTTTATATACACACATATACATTATATAATATGTATATCATCTATATTCAGTAATGTCTTTTATATTTTACATTTGTTAAAATGTACTTTAATAATTGGGGTTCCTCCTTTAGATCTATTGATGTAATATACAAATTTCCATATTTACCTCAATAGATGGTATAAATTTTTCCTAAAACAGAGATGCACCTCATCACTAAACTAAGTTGATCATATTTTTATATTGTTGCTAGCTTTTCATGTTCACACTATTCACATTTTAAAGGGTTTAGGTGCTTAAATATTGATGATAATCTTTGTCTGGTGCAATCATCAGACACCTGGCTGCTGAATTTGTTTTTTCCCCTCACCAGAGCTATCACAGCTTAGAAGTCTTTCAGAGAAGAAAAAAAATATATGATAGTAAGCAGTATTCACCCGTTCTTTTAAACCATTTTCCACAGTGAAAGAAAATTGTTACATTGTTAAAATATGAAATCTGTAGGTCTTTAAATTTTTTAATTCTAGAATTTCAAAATGACCCCACATTGTTTTTCCTTGTCATAGGACAGGAAATTATTGACAAAATGGATCATATTCTTTCAATAACTTTGGAAAATTTCAGATCACATATATTTACCCAAAATTGTTGGCTTTTCATAGCAACGTGAATCAAAGCACACGATCAGGGTGATCCCATGACTTAATGTTTCAACACACTGTAAGTTTTTTAAAATAGCGTTGAAATAATTGTAGCAGCAGTTTATCCACAGTATATTTCTGCCATCTTGGTAAAAGAGAAGTGACTTTCACATATAAGTTTTTAGCCTTGTCTTGTAGCATAAAAATTCATATTATCTGGAATGTAGTCTATACTTAATATTCATGATTGACTAATGCAGATTAGATTCCTCATAAAATGAAATGATGCAGTTTAGTTCGGTTCAGTGTAGATTCAAATGCTAAAGAAAATAAATTTAGGAAAGTTCAGTGTATCTCAGTGAAGAATCACTGAACTTGAAATCCAAGTTTCATCTGAGTTTGCAGGAACCCCGCAAGGCTCTGCTGAGGCAAGGAGGCCCAGAGGCCCCATGCAGGATTCTTAGGTAATGTGACAAGGAGTGTGTACTTCTCTTATGGCACAAGCCTAAGATAACAGACATTTATAATAGCTTTATTGAAAGGAAAATGATTTACAGTGATATTGAATGATTTGTAGTAAGTAAAATATACACACACATGCATGTGTTTTTGTGAAATATGGGCTGCCACATAAATATAAGGTTTCCTTGTGGACAAATGAGTGTTCACATCCAGCATTCAGGGCATGACTATACAACTAAAGATGATACCTGTATTTTTCATGTTCAAATGTACCAATACCAGTAGAAGTGATGTCCCTAAGTAAGTCATTTATCTGTAACTAGTGGAATATATTTGATGCCCTACAAGTAGGATTTTTCACCTTCATTACAACTATGCTTTTATGTAGTGTCCATTTTGTTGATATTTAATTCCAAATGTCAGATAACATCAGGACTATTTTGGCCAACTCTATATAATTGCTGACCATAGCTTTCTAAAATATAAGTCATGTCAAAAACCCAGTATAACTACAGTAATAGCCTAAACCATAGACTAGAGTCTAGTAAATCTAATTCATTTATTAAAGCCTCTAAGTTTTCTTTCAAATGGCACAATAAAACTTTAGTATGACAGATTATGGCCAAATACTGCTTTGACCATGATATCTCAATGACAATAAAAGATGATCTTTACTTTTAAAATTCATTAAAATCGCACTTATTTTTATGTATAAGAAAAGTGTCAAGGGCCGGGGATTTGGTTCCACCGCCTGCCTTGCAAGCATAAGGTCCCGAGTTCGATCCCCGGTACCAAAAAAATGTCAAGATCCAATGATTGAAGTTAATTTTAAAGATGGATAGCCATAGAATTAGATAGTTTTTTAAATTGGCAAGCTCAAAAGATAAGTTTTGAAAATTGCTCAAAATAATAATCTTACATTTTACTTTTACGACTTTTGAAATAATACTCCATTAAATCACATGCTAGAGAGCCAATAATTTAGTAGTAATAGATCTTTATACTAAATGTGGAAAAGGCAATCCTAAAGTTTTATGTACATAAATCATTTTTTTAAATGTTTGAGTTGCTATATATATGTATATATAAATATACAGCTATGCGTATAATCTGTAACATGCTCCCAAATTACATGAATAAAATTATTCACCCTTATAGCTGCTGTTCTGAAATTTTTAATTACTTCCAAGTTTCTAGACATTTTGAAACTGATTGTTTTAAAAGATCTTGGTTCCACCTTGAAGCTGATACTAACTTCCTTTGTAAAAAAAGAATATGAGAAATTAAACTCAGAAAATTATCATTCATTATTATAATTTCCTTAAGGAAAAAAGAAACAGTTATAGATGGGAACCTCTTGGGAAATACTTATTCAAATCTCCAAATGAATCTGTAACACAGTTCAGGAGGCTTACAGATTACTGCAGATACACTCCTCTTGTTTCAAGGGATTTGCTGTGAAAATTTATGTAATAACCATGTAACGTATTTTGAATTCTTGGGAGATACTCAGTATTTAAATTAGATCCCTGTATATCATGCAAGTGACTACTGACAAACTTTTAAGAATACATTTGACTATAT